TTTGGCTCAGTGGATAGAACGTCGGCCTGCGGACTAGGGGGTCCCAGGTTCGATTCCAGTCAAGGGCATGTACCTTGCTTGCGAGCACATCCCCAGTTGGGGGTGTGCAGAAGGCGGTGATCGATGTTTCTTTCTCATCGATGTTTCTAGCTCTCTGTCCTTCTCCCTTCCTCTCTGTGGAAAATCAATGATATATATTTTTAAAAAATCAATAAAATATATTTAAAACAACAACAAAAAATTATCTCTGGAGTAACTAGAGAAGGAGGTTGGAGGCCGAAGTACCTATGGGAAGTCCTTGGCATAGAGTGTGAGGAAGAGAGGGCAAGGTAATAGGGTTAGAGATGGAGAGGGGGCCTAATCGTGTAGAGCTTTGTAGGCCCAGGTAAGGCAATTAGAGGCTTGAGGCAGAGGAGGATGTGATCTGATTTATGTGGCTGCCAGATGGAGGCCTGGCTGAGGGGGCAGGAGGCTACTGCAGTCATCCAGGTGAGAAGTGGCTGTAGCATGGACTTGGTGGGGGATCAGGAGGAAATGATTGTTTTCTAGGTATATTTTGAAAGTAGAGCCATTAGGATTTGCTGACAAACTGGATATGGGTGTGAGAGAAAACGAAGAGTCAAGGATGACTCCAAGGTATTTGGTCTGATCATCTGGAAGAATGGAGTAGCCATTAATTGAGGAAGATGGAAAGGAGCATTTGGGGCAGAAAGTCAGAGGTTTTGCTTTGGACATATTGAGTCTGGGTAGCATTTTAGACCTCTGAGTAGAGTTTATGAGTAAGCATTTGGAGAGGGGAGTTCCTAGGAGAAGTTAGCACTGGAGATATAAATGTGGAGTCATCAGATGAAGATGCTTAAAGCCATGGATGAGAGCACCCTGGGAGTGAGCTGAAGGCCAATTTTGGGTCAGGTCAAGAAGAGAATGAGATGGAACCAAAGCTAAGGAATAGCCTGTGAAGTTGGAGAAAAATCAGGTAAGTGTGGAATTCCATTGTGGAAGACTAATGAAGAAACTGTTTCGAGGGAGGAGGAAGAAATTAGTATGTCCAATGCTGCTGAGATGACATGAAGATAACATGAAGACTGAGAAGTGACCACTAAGATCAGCAACATGGAAGTCATGAAGATCTTGGCAATAGTCATCTGGCGAAGTGGACAGGGCAAGAGACTAGCTAGGTTGAAGAGAGGATGAGAGCTGAGAACTGGACAAGTGAATGTGGTCTGTTGAGGTTTTCAAAAAAAGGGGGATTGAAACATGAGGTAGTAGCTGGGGGAGGATTTACAGATGTGAGAAATGAGAGCCAGTGGGTACCCTGATAGGAATGAGACTGGGCTTGCAAAGTGTTTGGCATAGTGCCTGGCCTGTGACTGGTACTCAGTATATGAAGGATTTCACATGCATCCACATACTCCACAGCTGACCCAGCCCACTCCTTTCCAGCCACCTGCAGACCCTATGATCCTACATCCCACTTTCCATTCCCACACATACTCCCAAACTGTCACAGTTGTGTCTGAGCTCAGTGCTGGAAATAAAAGAAAGCCTGAGATTGGCACAAAGCTCCCTCAGGAAACCTGGCCTCACAACAGCAACAGGAAAGTCACAGCACCCAAGGCCTGGGGACTGAATGGTGCTATCATTACCCTCCCCAGGTGATGCTGCCAGTGGGCTGCCAGGCATGCCTGCCATCTCCAGGCAACACTTGCCTCCCCTCCACTCTCTACCCCCACTTGGCATATCAGGCCTAAGTGTCTGGCCTGTGTGGGGACCAGCACCAGAGGACTAGGGAAGCACTATGAGTAGCATTTCCTCTGCACCTGTGAAGGCTTTGTAGGATGAAAAAGGGGCTTCCTACATGTCCCTTCCTCATTGCCTGACACCTAAGTAATTGAGCTCTTGGGTACTGTCTGGTTTTATCCTCACAACCACCCTCTGATCATCTCCATTTTACAAGGAAATGTATGGTCAGATATTGTAATAAGTTCTTGAAGGCCACACATGTTAGAAAAAGGATCTGAACATGGTTGGCCCACTCTTCCTCAAGTTCACAGCAGAGAGCCCTCCCTGGGAGTCACAGAGGGAGGCTCACCTGCCCTGCCCAAGGAGGCCAGGAAGGCTCCAGTCAGAGGTAAGGCTTCAAACTCAGGAAGGTGCTATGGTGCCATATATACGCCAGTTGCAAAGGAGGAGCCACTGCTATTGGGACATCTACCTGTCTGCCTGAGGACAAAAGGAAGGCTAATGAGCTCTGGGATGTAAAGTTGCTCCTGGTGGGCAGATGAGCAGGAGACTGGTAGGTGGCAGTGACAGTACCTTCCCTAAGCCCTGAGGGGAAGGATGCAGTTAAGGAAGGCTAATGAGCTCTGGGATGTAAAGTTGCTCCTGGTGGGCAGATGAGCAGGAGACTGGTAGGTGGCAGTGACAGTCCCTTCCCTAAGCCCTGAGGGGAAGGATGCAGTTTATAGCCCAGCTTCCCAAGCCCTTAGTGGTTATGTGCATGATATGTGAACATCTGGATACACATTGATGTTAGCCACAGGGAAAAACATAGTATTTCACATTTTTTGCGGCTGTTATTGTCAATAATTAACCTGAGTGGGCTAATCTCAACTGATTCTGCTGGTTAAAGATTAAGAGTTAAAGATCATGCTGGCCAGTGTGGCTCAGTGGTTGATCATGGGCCTATGAACCAGGAAGTCACAGTTTGAATTCTGGTCAGGGCAAATGCCCAGATTGTAAGCTTGATCCCCAGTAGGGGGCAAGCAGGAGGCAACTGATCAATGATTCTCTCTCATCATTGATGTTTCTCTCTCTCTCTCTCCCTTTCTCTCTGAAATCAATAAAAATAAAAAATAAAAAAAGTCCAGGTGAAATGGCAGCTACTCTGACTTAGTGATTCTTAAACATTTTGAGTTTAGCATCTTCAGGAAAGATGCAAATGAGCAAACAGAGCATTTGCATGTAATTTCAGAGTTCATGGGCCACACCCCCATTCCCTTTTGTTGCTCACTGAATTAATTTTTAAATTTCCACAGAACTTCACACCTTTATTTAGAATATTCTACACAGATCCAGGA